TAGATACAGAAAAGTGGGAGGGGGAGGGAAAGGGAGCTGCATCTCCTGATTTAGTTGAAGACAAACTTGTGGATGTRGAAGAAAAGTCCATGACTGAGGTTGAAGATAAAACATCTGAGGTTTGACAGGAAAGCTGTGGGTCAAAGGAGGGTGTTTGGCTGGGGGCAGGAGAGGAGGAAGATGAGCTTGTTCCTGAGCTGAACCTGTTGAAGAATGTGTTCAGCTCATTTGCTCTGTTCAGACTTCCATCCATCTGATTCTCCTTTTGCTTGAAACCTGTGATCTTCTTCAGCCCTGACCACACATCTCTGAYATTGTTCCTTTTCAGTTTACTCTCCAGCTTCCTTCTGTAAACCTCCTTGCTGCCTCTGATCTTGACTTTAAGCTGCTTCTGTATACTCCTCAATAACTYCCTGTCTCGATCCCTAAAGGTTCTTTTTTTCTCATTTAAAAGTTCCTTTAGCTCACTGGTGATCCAGGGTTTGTTATTAGGGAAGCATCTCACTGTTCTGCTGGGGATGGTGTTGTCCACACAGAAATTATATAGTCAGTCACACACTCAGTCATGGCATTTATGTCATCTCCWTGWGGCTGGCAAAGAACAATCCAATCTGTAGCTTCAAAACATCCCTGTAGATAATAAGATTCATTGATAATATTAACACTGACTGGATTGACCCACACACCTCAACTAGATGCTTACTTCAGTACATTGTAGCTTCAAGCGTAACTCCCAAGTACAGAGGCTACACACTGTTTTACAGTATGTAATAAAATGAACAAATATCTGTTTCCTGTGTGCTGACAGGAACTGTGGTCACCACCCCACTCACCATGCAGCTCCCCACCTCGCTCCCCACAGACGTACTGCAGCTACCCATACACCAAGCAGAGAAATGGAGTGGACCCACAGATCAGTAAGACCATTTTCAGTCCTGGTTTTATATCTGTATTCTGGAGCTACCGTGAAAAATAGACCCCATCTTTGGCGTCCCGATACCACAGGGCTGTTCAACCAAATTGCTCCGGAGGCCACAGTTTCAACTGCTTGTAGTTTTAGCTATCTTGAGTGTTCATAGAAATGGTTTATACCAGCTTGTAGCCAAGATTGTAGATACCAAACATGTCTATGTTTAACTAAAAGAACTTAGAGTAATTACAGTACAAACTGGGGGTATGGGCTTAAGAGATGAATGAACCAATTGGGGGGCCGAACTTTGGTCACTAGCGGGCCRGATGTGGCCTGCGGGCCGCCATTGAGTAGTTCTGCGATACCAGTTTGTCTCAAACCGAGTACAAATACTTTCACTTGGGTACTCGCTAATACCGAGTACTTACTGAGTTAGAACTTAAACATCACACAATGACTTTAAAAACCAATTGCCCCTCTGACTGGACCAAATCAAATAAACAGCATGATATATATACTGCTGAAACATTTTACAGTAAATAAAACTAAGTACGATTTTCTTTCAACTTGTATAACTTTAACTGACAAACTTTTCACTTGAAATGTAAACTGTAACCCAATGAATGAGGTATTGATTCTGGTATTGAGGCACTTTGTGTTTGTACAACACTACCACTCACATTTTTTACAAATGTAGTTTAGCACACATTGGTTTGAGTCATCTCCTCAAACGCACACATTTTTATTTCTTGTTTTTCAGCTTCTGAAAGCTTATCTTGTCCACGACCCATTGTTCAGCTGGAGCAGCACTCCTCGCCCAGCCATTACCTGAGCAATCCCAGCGTGGAGCATCCCGCCAAGCTTCAGGTACAACTGAACTTATGTGAAAGATTTCATTTATTAAGCCTGTGATGAAAGCTGAGGGGTGGCTAACTTTACATTTCTTCCACCAATCCACTCAGACCTCCTCAGAGAGACTCGGTCAGCAGAGCACAGTGGATTATTCTGATGATGACCCCTGGAGGATCACAGCAGAACAGCTGGAGTATTACACAAATCAATTCAAAAGCCTGCAGCCTGATCTGGGGGCCCTGATCCTGGGTATGGAAACCCCAAAACCCATATTCATGACTGAATACCAGAAAATCAAATAGTTTTTAACCACTGTTGGCTGTTTCCAGGAGCTGTAGTGAAAAACTTCTTTACTAAATCCAAGCTCCCAATCCCAGAGCTGTCCCATATTTGGTAAGTGCTGACTCATCTGCTCTTGTTTGGTTCTGGGCTCAGTGTATCCACAGTATTTCTAATGTTGCACCACTGCCCATAATTCACAGTGGAAGCTGGTTTTGTTGTTGTTGTTAATTTATTTAAGAATGGACAGTGCATATTACAGAACATGTCAGAGTTAGCCATGAAGGCTAATTTTCATCTGCAGTCCCTCAGTGTCCTATAAATATAAATACAATACATACAAATCAGCAAGTTACTTTCATTAAAAGATTACTAAAAATATGACAAACAGCGTGATTAAAAATAATAAAAGGCCATTTAGCACAACAATAAAAATCTAAGGCAATGCATTAAAGGAGACCAATTCAATTCAAATTCAAATTCAAAAATACTTTATTGATCCCAGAGGGAAATTAGGTAATTTAGTAATGGGTCCTAGAAATGTTTATGGTATGTCTGTGGGCTATCCAGACCATGTTCATTCAATTTAATGCACAAAATAATTCTCAGATAATAAAATTT